TAATTAAATCAATTGATAAGCTATTAAAAAGTAGAGCAGAGGGTTAAATGAAATTACATTAAATTCTGGTCTGATTCTTAACTGTGTGTACTTCCATTTGATCAGATACTCCCTGATTTAAGTAATAATTCTTACTACTATAGTATTGTATCAACATTAAATACAAAAGCTCTTGTTTGTGAAATGGTCTCCTACTGAAGATGTCCCGATAGTATGTCCAGTGTGATGGTAATCACGTTGCTGTGTCATGCATCTATTTAACACCATGCTTTAAAATGAGCACCGCGCACACACACATTCACACACGTATGGCAAGGCTACCTGAGAAATCCTCTTCATCTCATCAAAAATACTCTGTCTGCAACTCCAAAACACACCCTAATAATAAAACGGAGATAGTGAAGAACAATTTAAAACAACAAGAAAAACACCTACCACTGTTTGGCTAGCAAATCAACTTCTTGGCTGTTAATCACAGGAATATACTGAAGTGATTACAGTTTTTGCAATCGCTTTGTGATCTTGGCAAAATGTGACTGACAGATCCTATAAAGAAGCTTCAGCTGACAACACACAAGTGTATTATGAGATTAAAGGTTATTTTTACCGTGGATATAATCACAAGGTGCTGACATCACACCACAGGTACTGCAAAGCACAGCATTTCTTTACAGATGTAACTGATTCTAAATGGCACAAAAATAATGACAGGCTATAATGTTGTGAAATGTCAGTATCCATGAACCCCTATTAATAAAATGTAATGCAACTACACCTGCACATTGCACACACAAACACACAAAACAGAGATGCTGGTGATTGAATTACCAACAGCCAATATTCTAATTCAAATACAATTTATAGTACATGGTACATTTTTAATATAAATATGACATTTTGGAAAGTAACCAGCCATCAATTTGGATGAACTACTGTATCATAAAATGGTTTTGGCAAGTAGTGACAGTGGCTGGTAAATTAGAAAATTAATTTGTCTATATTAAAAAAAAAATTTGTTGTTGTGGCTCAACTAAATAATTTAGCTACCTCAAATTGCATGTTTGTTCAGACACCACTGGCAGCAAAAAGGAAAAGGACTGTGAAAACAACAAAGGATTTTTATGTGCAACTGCAAAACATGACAACTTTAGTTTCCACTAAAGGAAAGATGTCTTCACAAAGTCAAACATAAAGAAGGAGGTTCAATGCTCAAAGACCCCTAAATATTTAAAATAAAACATTGGGGAATTAAAGTGGTGGGAACACAATCCACTCTAATAGTGGGGGCAAACATTACATTTTTTATGTTTTATTTGTACTAGCAAAACAGACCACTATGCAACACTTTTAAAAGTATTCATCTTCTTTAACTTTTCGTACATAATGCTATCACAGTATTATGAACTGTGGAGAAGTATGTTTTTGCATGTGCCTTTCTATAGCGTCTGTCGATACATGGCCTTCAAAGACAACACACTGTAGCACAGACGTAAGTGAATTTATTCGTGTGAGAAACTTTCTGACTGGAAAAAAATTGAATAAATGATTACCCGACTAACTTGTATGGAAAACAAAAGGCAATTTGGAGTCAAGTCAAGATGCACCTTAAAATCAAATATAGGTTGTTCTTGTTATGATAAAGCAAAAATATGAATATTACTTCAAAACCATTCTAACTAATATCTACTTTTTTCAAAACAAATAAACTCCAAGTTCATTTTATTCTTTTTAAATCGTGTTGCTGGTCTCACAGCTGACTGTTGAAATGTCTTTAAAAGACAGCAAACTGAACACTGGGATGCACTATGAAAATTTAACAATCAGAAAAACTTGCATACCCCAATATGAAAGATTTAGATACATAAAATGATCCAACGCAGAGCTGGGAACTAAATGATCCTACCAACCATTCTCTATCTTAACTTTTATTTACCAGTAAAATGTGATTTAAGTGCTAAAAGTCTGGAAGTCTAAGAAATTCCTGTTTTGCTGCCAAATTGAAAATCAAATAATACAAGCCTATATCCTCCTCAAAAGCTCAAGTCATCCTTCTTGTTTAAAATAAAGGCTTGTCCAGTAGGGTTTTATTACATTGATTAATAACCCATGAATAAGTTGTGTAGCTAATGGCTTCACTATTACTATGAAACATATTGAAAATTAACAAGTGTGCAGTGCTGCATCACCAAATCCAATTTTCCCACCAACCCCAATATCAACGAGTGACGTCCTATGCTTGATGTATGTCTGTAGCTGACGTCAATGCAGCCAAAGGGCTTTGAAAAAAACAATTAAATATAGGGTCTGCAAATAACATGTAGTAACCATATAGATATAAACTATTTAAGTACAAAATAACACATGAACATCACTGCCATGCCAATAATGCCCACTAAGACGTTTATGTTGAAATCACACTGTTAACCTGAGCAAACATGTCAACAACACAATTAACATCTGGTGACCATCAATAGGGTTGACAGATGCTAGAGCCGATTCAATTCCTACTTGTGTGGCAAATACGACAACATAGTCGTATTGTAGATTAATGGATTATTGTTTTAGGCAGCGTATTGCAGGTGAACCGCTTTAACCAAGACAAACATAGCACGACAAACAAGCAAAGGCGAAGTAACTTAACGATATCATCATGACAAACGAGTTCGTAAAGGATTTGTCAATATGAAGGGCAAATGTTTTTATTCTAACATTAGGGGCACCAAAATAACTAAGATTAACGCTAACGTTTTGTTAAATACACACCTGCATCTATCTGAGGTAAGTCAGATAGTTCAATCCGCTAACATTAGCGTTAGCTAGCAAATTTGACTAGCTAACGCTAACGTTACAGTAAAGCTACAAGTTACAGTCAAAACAATCTGCAAACGCGGGCAAGAAGGAATCAAAGTACACTGCATATTTATAAAACTAGCATTATCGGTAAACGTTATTTAACACTGACAGTCATGTCCATTGATGTAGCCATCTGCATTTGGTTTAGCAACTTCATAAACATCTAGATTGGCTAGAGTTGTTCCACTAACCAGACCTAAAAGGCTAACGACATTAGCCAACGTTAGCCAAATTACACTAGCTAATGTTACTTGCAAGTTAGCTAATAAATATTGACATATCGTCTTTGTTTGGGGCATAACATAATGTCAACCACAACATTTGAAAAGCTCTGGTTTCTGTTGACCAGAGAGCCAAATTCAAAGGCAAAATAAGTTAATGATAATTATGCTAAAGCTTTCGCTAACCAACAGAAACTCACTTTGTCTGAGATGCAGCGAAACTAGCCGCTAACTGATTAGCTTGAACGTAAGTTAGCCAGCCATGTCATGATAGGCCATCCAAGTCATGTTTAGCTAACTGTTAGCAGCTGAGAGTTAGCCTGTAAATGATACACCAAGATCGCAAACTCCCAAAGTGGTGCCAAAGTTTTGCCATTATTAATGAGCATGGTCTACAAGGGTGACAGCTAATGCCCAGAAGGTGATTTTCCAACCAGGACTGGGTCCGTGATAAGCTCACCTCTTTGGGTACGAACTGGTTCTCTTCGCTAGGCACCATTTCCATTTGTGCGACAGTTTAGACAAGCGTCTATCCGGACAAGGGTGTCAGCGAAAAAACTTCGCAGCGGTAAACACAAACATGGTGTGTGTCCTGTTTGTTGTAAGTTTGGATGCTTGGAGAACAAAATTAAACTTGCCAAAAACTTGTAGGCGTTTCAAAGTGATCGCAACACTTTCGGTTACACTACCCAAGCACGAAGTGTCCTGCTATAAATGGAGAAAAATGGCCGGTGTTTTACTCCGCGAGACTTCACTCAGGGAGCTTTGGCGTCACATTCCATCCAGACAAGCGTGCGTGATGTGTGCGGACAGGATGACGTAGGTGCGTGTCTGCGCTTTAAAAGGACAGAGATGACAGAAACGCACAAAAAAACACGGCAGTAATGGTTTTAGCTTGTGCGACAGAGAGTGGTTCGGGGCTGTGGGTCAGTTTGGCAATCCATTCAAATTTAACAATGCACTGTTTTCAATCAGATCACAACAATATTGACAAATTAAACTGAGTACACAAAGTGCACAAACTCAAATTAATTTCTCTTTCTCTTTCTATTGAACTGATTCACTACTGTTTTACATGTTTGTAAACCAGGAGCAGTAGGTCACAATGAGTGGCTGTCGCTCAAGAGTAAGTGTAATGGCACGCTAAAGAAACTCGACTTTTACCCTAGACTGTTCAATTTAGGGTACAGGTTGATGCACTGCACAGTCATTTTTGTATAATATTGGACATTTTTAAACTGCTGCACACCTCATACTGCATGGTGCAGCATAAATTCAGATCAAACAGTCAGAAATGCATATTTCACCTCACAGCAAGGAGGGTCGAGGTTTGATAACATGATTCCATGTTCATGTGTTTGTTCAGGTTTATTTTTAGTGATCCGGGTTTCCTCCAACATTCCAAAGACAAGTTAGGCGGATTGACTCCGGATTCTAGATTGCCGATATAGTATAGTTTTCGTGTAAGAGTCTGTATTTGAGTGTATGCGCTGCAGTGGATGTGGTGTGGTTTGGTTGAGAAGGGGCACTGCACCAAAATAGAGCACTACATGTATCCAGAGAGTGATTTGTTATAACAGAATAAGCAAACAAGCATTTCCTCATTGTTTGTTGTCACCTTACACATAGACTTGTATTCCAGCTGAAGTAGATAAGCATCTTCTCTAGTAGACATTCATTGGGCTGGGATTATGAGAAAGGGATACAGAGGTCATGGAGTGTACCAGAATGCATATTTATCCTCCATGTTATCATCATCAGTAAATTCATTTGCAGATAGTTCTGGCTGGAAAGGTGTGTTGGAGTATACAGATTCACTGTGTGCTGAAATGGGAATATGAACAGGCTTTTCATCTATTATAGGTACCAAAATATACCAGTAAGTCCCTCACAATTAATTTTCTATTGCAAAAAGAAACACTGATATGATGGTTCCATAAATCCATTTATGTACAGTGCAGTGAAAATTTATTTTCTTGCGATAATGTTTTAGTATGAAATGATTTATGTACAGTTTTACCCAAGAAGGTAGTATTACAGAAAAAAAATATGTTTAGAAAATAGAGAGCAAATGGCTTCATCGTGCTGCTCAGGCCTCACAGTCAGCTTGTATAACTAAATGTTTTAACGTCACTTACCATTCAGAAGTATACATGCTGCCTTTTTAGTCAATTAGTCTAAAAACAGTGTGTGAGTGCAACATACAACAAAGGGTATCTTGCTTCTCTTACGCCCATGTACACTACTCCCAAAATTAAATTTCAAACTTTTTTCATTGGGCTCTATTCCTTCAGTGTCCAAGTGAGGCAACCAACAGAACAACCAACAGGCAAACACTTCCTTTCACTTCCATGCTACCGTTCACTACACCCACATCTGCTTAAATCAAGCTGTTCAGTGGTCAGCAGTAGAGTGGTAAACTGGGGAACTCCCTGGTGTTTATGTATGAAACTGTATTAATGTAAACTATGTTGATTTGACAAAATCAAATAGTTTGAGCTTTGGGACTTTGCATAAAGTGAACATGAAGTTGCCTGATAGCTCTTATAAAAGGGAAATCACATAATTTCACCTGAATATCTTTTGATTTCAGTTTCTACTGTGTGTATTAAAGCTAATTAATAACCTTCTACATTTATTTATCTCAACTGTATGTTTGTCTATATGTAGCACCTTATCTCCAAAACAAATTCCTCATAAGTGTAAAAAGTACTAGGCAATAAAGCTTTTCTGATTCTGATTCTGAATTACTAATTATAATGACACAAGTTGATAAAATACATTTCATAATACACAGTCAAAAACAAGCTGTGTTTCCATCATGAATTAGCCCAGATTTGAAAACACATTTTTGCACACTTTTAATCAATGACCCACACAAATGATCATGAAGTAGTCAGCAGCCACTCTGTTTCCTTTAGGGAATGACATATTCACAGATGTACTTTTTGAGGCTGCCACACACCTCATCGTACCACTTTCCTTGCGCGACCACTGAAAGGGCAACACAGCTCTCCCTCTTCGTTCCTGTGGGCTGCTTCTTGGAGCGGTCCCAGTTGAAGTAGCCGACAGGCAGGCTGTTGACGTCAACATACTGGCCTTCTTTAACTATGTCTGCCACGCCAATCCAGAATTCCTTTGATCCTGGGGCACTCCTCTTCGCATAGTCTCTCAGTATATTGTTTTCCATCTTGTCCCGCGGCGTTGCAAGGGTTCCTCCTTGTGAAATACAGTCTTCATTTGCTTCGTGGTAATGTTTGGGTTCTCAATTGTAAGATAACACTTCCTGTGAGCTTTGATGCCACGGAGACAGACTGAAAACACAAAGCACTTACTTTATGAATGAATTGTAAAGTAACTATATGGTATTCAAATAGTTCAATACTATTGCAATGTTTAGTTTCCTCAGTAACAGGAAAATAATTATGATGGAATCCCTCTTTTTGTTTCTCCAACAGAATTTACAGCAATTCATACAGCCATATTCATTAACTTATATACAGAGAGATCACAGTCTGAATATTGACTAATAAATTAGCCAAGAAAAGGAAAAAGTAGGCATATTTTAAAAAAACAACAATAATAATAAATCAATAGATGTGTAGTATTTTGATATGATTGACTAAATCTTGTAAAAAAAATCATTATTTTTTAAAAATAAGATAAGCAATTTAGATATTTTAGCTTACACTTCTGCAGCAATTAAACCTTTAACTTTACAATTTAATGGATGATGGGTGCTGCTTCCCTCTGCTGGTGACTCAGGACACTAAGAAGTTAAAAATCTAGTTATGAAGTTACCAATTATCCACATTCTTGCACGACAGCTCGGTGGCCTAAATTAACAAGTAACAGTGATATACAGTACCATAGCATGTTTATGAATACAACCTAAAATCACAATAATATTGTTATTCAACCATTGTCCCATGGTTTGTTTCTTATTTACTTATTTTCTTAAACTAACATACTGAAGACTGTAGCAATGCTTCTAAATCAAATCCATTGTCATCTCCTTTCTTTAACCTTCCTTTATTCAGTGAGGGCAGTACCTGTCTGCAACGCCTGCATCTCTTTCAGTGAATTCACCTCCTGCCACAACTTCTTAAGCTGAGATTTCACATAATCTTCCTCTGCAGCTGCATCTCGGCAAAGAAGCAGGAAACAAACAGGTCCAATGTACATCGATAGCAAACATGTTATTTATGAATTGCGTGCCATGTGCATAGTTACCTCCGGGCTGACGAGGTGACACGGCCTTCCTGGTGCGAGATGGACGGCCGGAGCTGAAGTGGAGCAAGGAGAAGCAAAGAACGAGGAAGACAGGGAGGGCCAGACGTGCCATGTCTGAGGCCAGTGGGTCCTACAGGACAGGACTGAGTGGCACACCTTGTACGGCCGTGGAAGGAACCAAAAACGCAGCTCAATATATACTGGCCCCTCTGTATGCCTTTCTGGGTACTCCCCCTGCATTGGCTCCAACTCTGTTTGTTTTTGTCCAAACATCAGGAGGAGGTGAGAGAGGTATGAGGGTGCAGTGGCAAATAATGACTTCCTTGTGTCTGGCTTTTGATAAATATTTACTTGGGACAAGGTGCACTAAGCAGTATTCCCTTCATTTCACAAACAAACTGGAAATTCATTGACTGCTTCACTATCACACAGTGTTCCCCTCCCAAGTTCCATATCGGTTTTGGACATGCTAACTTCTTGACAAATAATGTTAAAAAATAATAATGTTGCACCTTGGTGTCAACTCAGAAAAAGTGCCAACTTGTGTGTACTATCAAATAATAACACCTGGCCCAGCAGTGAAATATACGATATATGTACTCTAAGTGGTAGAAATCTACACTAATAAGGCTTTAATTTACAACTTTCAATACATAAAACAAGCAAAGGAGTAAATGTTCACAGTAAACTAATCTACACTGTTGAAATCTGTTCATTCACACAGTCTTCCAGCTGTATAATCTTAAAAAAAAAAGCTACTACCAGACCAGAGGAAGTCCAGCTCCCAGCTCTGGTTATTTTTAGAGTGAGATGTTGCATAAAGATAGGAGGGGGGAGCTAAATAAGAAAGAATATTGGGAATATGGGCTCAGTTCAGCAATCCAACTCTCAAAAGCAGTTCATGTACTCTTCCCCATTTTACAGTTTTTAAATTATACATTTTTGAGTATTATCTTTCATTTAAGGATGCACTAAGTAAATCATTCTCTAGAATAATGTAATCTAACAAAGAATGTTAATCAAAAACTCTGTGATAGTTTTATTGGTTTCAGTACATACACTCACTAGTATGCCAAAATGATATTCTGAATGTGTTATTTGTTTCAGCATGTTACAGAAACTGTCTCTGAAAAATAAATATACAAGAGTTTACGGTTACATCTAGTAGGTGTAAATGGATGTGAAATGGTACTCTATGTAATATCTATTTAGTTTAGCCTCATTGCACAATATTGAGTCAAAGTTCTATGTTTAGTTAGCATGCAAAAAAGCTGTATGAGCAAAGCTGTCTCAATGCAGTCTCTGCAGATATAAAACCCAAAACTAACCTCGGACACTGAGTTGAGGGTCAGTAGTTCTGGTTTAATGAATAATTAATGATGACGAACACATACATGGATCTTCAAATAAAACACAGTTTCCAGCAGTTCTGCCAACAGTGCGTGAATTGATTCTGACTATACTGAATATCTCTTGCATTAGAAAATCCCTTACTTTGTATCCATCTTGTGCCAAACTGAGGGATTAAGCAGAATGTGCAGTATGCAAGAATAGTATACTATATTCTAAATGTTGAAACATAATGTACACTGAATGTTCACTCTCATGAAGCTGAGATATACTGAAATATTTGCATACTATATTTAAAAAAACAGGGACAACTAGAACTAGAAAAAGAGGGACAACCTTTTTAAATGTAATATGGAAAATAACTTGACTTCAGGGAGGGTGTAAATCATGTGTGATAAATAAATTCAAACACTGAACTAAGACAAGAATACAATCATGGAATACTTTGCAGATATTTATTATTCAAGTAAACAGAGCTGTACTCAAAGAAAGTACACCACAGGTAACCCATAGTTTAAAAGGAATTTTGTGAACACACTACAATGCTAAACACTTCTTTGTTTTTCTTTTTTTGTACAATATGAAAACACACTGAAAAACATGCTCTCTCTAACACAACAAATGTGACATTAAAGGCATCTAAACTGACACTACACATCACTGTCCTTATTTTCAAGTCTACAAATCAAGCGGTTGAAGATGGATGGATGGAAATCAATCTCTAAATCGATTCACTTTAGTAAAGCCATTAACTCTGTCTCTCCACTGTTTATCATTCAGCTTCAAGGCATGCAGTGTTTACTCCTGTTAGTTTTGCTGTTGATACATTTTTTTCCTTCTTAAAATGGCATTATTATGAAACATTGACTTCTCTTATTGTTTTCAGGTGAGAAAACAGTTTTTGACGTATACTGTGGTTTCATTTTAATAATTCAATTAAGGTAATAAATAATTCAGATGGCTAGACGATATAAAACACAGTGAACAAGCAAGGCCGGAGAAATAGTGTGAAGGAAATACAACGCAGTTTGTTTTTACTTTGATAAAATAAAAATAAAACAGATCAGATTTGTTGTGGGTGAGTCAGTTGTTCTTCTCCTGCATTTCATCAACAACTCGCACATGTGGAGTTCAGCAGAGGGCGTCATACTTACATAAAATAATACACAGTGTTGCTCAAACCTAAATCACCCTGCCTTTATACAACTCATTGTAAAAATAATTTATGTTGGCACTTTTGTTGTGAGGCACCAGCAAGTAAACAACTTTGGTCAGACAAGGCAAAGCAGAGACTCCTCAAACCTTGGACTGCAGGCTGACTGAACGCTTCATCGTCCTCCCTAAGAACTGATTTTTCTCATGTTCTCTTGTATTTACATATAAATTCTGTTTTACCCCAGTGTTTACAAAACGGTCCAATTTTTGCAACCTGACAATATATCTAACACTTAAGAAAAGTTCTGAATATACAGTTTAGAAGGAAAACATATCCTCAATCCAAACCTCACTACATAAAAAGTGCTCTGGTGGCACCGTAGATTCAACCTACTACAAATTGTATGATCAGGCAAAGAAGAATCTTGAATAGTCTACACATCTGTTTTCATATTCCAGTTAAAATACCTTTTTTCTTGGTTTGTCCAATGCGAACTTCACACGAGGAAAGCATTTCGAGTATCAAACACTCGTTTGTAGCTCAAAGGCACTGTTGATCCCATAATACTACACGGTTGGCACCTAAGAATAAAATATCACGCAAACACAGACTTGCCTACCTCTACTGGCTTACGCATTACTATTGTAACATGAGACTCCCTTCGTCAGAGGCATCAAAACGTTATGGGTCATTTTCTAAAACTTGTGTAAATCGTTTGCTCTCATTTTGCTGTCATCACTGAGGACAGACATGGTATGACACTTATGTGCTTTACTAAATCTGTTTTTACGGGTGCAAATCTTAAAGTGATAATAGCAAGTCAGCAGGTTTAAATGCTAATTTCACTTTGTGGCTGATTCAATAAACTGTTGGCAGATGCAATTGCCTGTAAAATGGACACAAACCTATTTACATCATTGGCTAGCATAACATCACTTCATAATACATTAAAGAATATATTAATACTATTCTAAGAATGGCACTTGCACTTGTTGTCTGGGTGATAAACATGTGAGTCTTCATTTACCCAAAAAAGTTACTTGACTAATCAACTGACAAACAATAGGTAACAGACAAGAGGCACAAACATATTCTGTACATAGATACATACATTCATGCATATAGCACATGCATACATATGTATAGGGGGTGGAAAATACCAATTTACATGTGTCCAGTATCTCAAACGCCTCACTAGTGCCTGACAAGACCTCTGCAATCTAACAAACCTTTGACATTACACCTACATTTTCTATTTTCCAATTTCCACTTACAATGCTTACACAGGCATCATATACATGTGGCGTAGGGGATGTGTGTTTCATTTAGGTGTAACTTTAACACATTACCATGATCGCCTGTGCCACACCTACGCTACACTTTATGGCGTAAGCACACACACAGACGCCACACCAACACTACACCTGACATGCCAAAATGAACTTAGTCACGTGTAGAAGCAGGTGCGGTGTTGAGTAAAGCCACAATGGTCAGGTGAAGTGCACTATCCAGCAACTTCTGACATTACACATTACACTTAGAACATTTTTTGTTACATGTAAAGACACGTGTGGCACTGTCACATCTAGTGTGGTGTATGAGTGCAAGATTGCTCCTAATCTTTAGAACACTTTACCTGTTGAAATAAAAAATGCCCCGACTCCTGACACTTTCAAATCCTTGCTAAAGACATATATTTATTCGTCGGCCTTCAAACAGAGTTGAGTAGTTACATTTATTTTTTTATTTACTTTTTCTACTGTTGTTGTCATGTATATTTATTGTCTATTGTGGAAAGCACTTTGGTCAACTAGTGTTGTTTTTAAATGTGCTTTATAAATAAACTTGAACTTGACTGAGTGAAGCTGATGCTAGTAGGTGCAAAGCACTATGTCGCCTCACCTGAGGCAACACCTTCAGGGTTGGGAGGATTACTTTAAAAATGCAGTCCAGTACAAATGAAGACAAGAGAAGCTTGATACGTTGTCTGCTTAGCGTACTTTTAGAGAAAACAAAATCTCCCGTTCCCAAAATCCATGTTTAAATGTTTTTATATGATATGCTTTGCACTATGTCACCACTATGGCAGTATCTGGGCCATCAATGACAAAAAACATTGTTTTGTAGGTATTCTTGATGATATTTAAGAGTGAATGTTGATGACTCATTCTGCACTTAATTTAGCGTCCAATGAAAAGATTTCTCACTATTATACTGCTGAAGCAGTGTTTCTAGGACTGGGCCCCACTGATTGCTTTACAGAAACACAACTTTTTTTCACTGATTTTGGTGAAACTACATCATATTTGATGGAGAAATATTAGAAATATGGAGTAAATATTTTTTCTAGTTTTCTCTCTGACGTCCCCCGGCTGCTCTGCCTCAACTCTTTGATTCACAGAGTTTCCAGATAGCTTTACTTGTTGCTGAACCGGAGCCGGGTTTGTATCCTGATTACGTAACACTGTTACATGTAATCCGTTACTCCCCAGCCCTGAACATCTTACACTAATCCTAGGAAGAATCCAGAAAGATGATAATGTTCACTCTGCAAACTTGTCAGGTTCTGGCTGTGCCATCCCCTAAGTACCTAGTCTTTATTCTGTTTCCCCCTTCTTTGTGTCAAGCTTGCAGTACTACAGAATTGTTTTTTTTTTCCCTCTTGTGTTTTTCTCACTTTTGCCTCAGGTCCTGATCCTGGACAGAGGAGTTTCAGTCAGCCTGCTCCACTCAGTATTCTCTCTGTTTTTCCGCTGCCTTCCCAGCTCACTCCGCCTGCCTGCTCACAGAGATCACCAGCTTGCATTTCGTCATTGCACATTTTTTTGAAACTGTCAAATAAACCTGCTGTGTATTTTTCTTTTACATCTGAATCTGTGTCTGCATTTGGATTCCCAGTCAACCCACCTAAACAGATTTATGTGACATTATTGCAAGTATTTTGCTTTTATTGCGTAAAATGTCGGAGAATTCAGGTGATTTAATGAAACACACTGATTTTGGTTGGAGAGTGTTTAATAGAAATTATTTATATTTGAACTTTAATCTGTTGCAGCACATCAGCAGCATTAGAATAAACTACTATCATCCTTTTTTATGTACCATTTCACTCACAAGGAAATGAACTCCAGTCTGCAGCATGAAATAGTGATCCTTCATGGTCCATGTGGTCCATTATAGTTTAGCTATATTACTCCTACATATTGCACAATAAAAGCAACATAAACTTGCAAAAATGACACACTAGCTGCAGAACAAAAACTCAATCTAATTTTTTCTCTCTGGATAAATACAGCCTTCAAAGGAGACTAGAGTTAGGTGTCGCGTCAGGTGTGTCCACAGAGTACTTTGCACATACCAGAATAGGCTTCACTCAGCCCAATATGCCAGACTAGATGTGACAGCGCCACTACATGTAACTAGAACTTTTTCTAAGTGTTAGGTGTAGTGTCAGGCGTTGCTTGATAGTGCAGCACACCTGACCATTGTAACTTCACTCCACACCACACCTGATTCTACACCTAACTAGGCAAACTAGGTTAGGTAGAGTGGAAGTTAGGCAAGCAGGTACACGTTTGAGGTACTGGAGTGCATGTATATTGATATGGCCCACCCCCCATACATACGCACATACTGCACAACACTTGTGTTTCTCTATGGTGAATGTCTCCAGTCTCTAGGTGTGTTGTAGTAGGGTTTGTTGGGTTTAATGGATGAAAGGCATTCTTTCCTTGCTGTCGTTGTCTTCTTCGGCCTCCTCTTCCTCCTCTCCTGCTTCACTGGTCTCTGTGCTGTCATTGGCCATCTAGTGGTAAAATATTAATCAGCTATCATAAACTGCATCCTGTGCTTGCCATACAGAAAAACTGAGACACCAAGTGGTACAGTAAATGTGCAAATGCGACCTCTGATTACGGGCAGCTGTATACAGGGTCGATACTTTCAATATGAGCATGTCTATTTATAGTTTTTCTAGGTCTGATGTTGAGATCACCATGGAAACAACTACTATAAAATAAGAGGTAATCCTACTCACTAATTCCTCCTTGAAAAAGTGCAGGAGGTATCAAATGTAAAATGCAAGTTTTTATCAATCACAAATACCACACTGCAAGTCGGCCAGAAAATTATCTGCATATGGTTAATTAGGCACAGAGATAGGAATGCCCTTCTTACATATAATCTTGTTTGCTGTGTTACACAAAACACATTAAAATGTTGTTACCAGAGGGGTGGGTGTCTTCTCAACATCCAGAATGAGTTTTCCTATGTTGCCTCTGTCATGAATTCTTTGCATGGCCTCTTTCACCTGAGAAGAAAACATAACAATGTTTTTGGCCATGTCTTTGGAACACTTTAACAACAATGGCCTTAACTTCAACCAGCCAAACTGTTGACAAGCAACAATTTTAATGAATGAATCTTTTTGGTTGAGCACTTTTAATTTAGCCCTGCCATAAGTTAGAGAAGTTCAAAACGTTCTCGTTAGGAAACAGTAATAGGCTGGTACTACATCTAAGTCTAATCTGGAAGTGCCCAGTGAACCAGTTATATTTTAAATGATGTGTGAAACCCGCTTTGAGCCACAACATTTGTTACAACTCTCTGGCAGTCACTCATAAAATGAGTGACTGCCAGAGAGCTTCCAACAATAAAAGTAATGTTAAAAAGACATTTCAAAGCACCTGCTAAAATAACCTCTTTTGTCAACTGAAACCACACAAAGACACTTTTGCAACCACTTCCTGGTCATGACAGGCCTTCTTTTATACAGTCTATGTCACAGAAACAGGTACACTTACTAAAAGCTATAATCTAAACTTACTCCGTGATAAAAGTTAAAAGACAATCTTGACAAAATGATGGGATGGATCACCCTGCTGGGCTACGTTTGACATCGCACCGAACACTTCACTGCCTGTAGCAATGATTCAAGGTTTATATTAAGCAAAGTACATGGTGCTTCGTTTTACGATTTTATGATTGCAGGAAGAATACGGGCTGTATTTTGCAACAGAGATTATGAACTAGCTTTAGACTGGCAGTGTAGAGAGGGCTCTAATAACAAATAAATGATGTGTATATTAAACGTTTCTGCAGCTTCCTAGAAGACAACATATATTCTCATACAATGAGAAAAAAAGTGAGTCCCATCCTGCAAAAATAAATTCTTTTACTATTTACTTTCTTCCTCAGTCCTCAGCTCGTAAAGATATTACATCCTCTTATAGATGTTTATTTTTGTTTTGTTGAGTATTGTATGCGAGTATGAATGAAGTGTGAAATAACTGCTCATCAGAAACAACAAATTAACATTCATGCACATTCACACACCAACTGACTGGAGGTTGGGGGAACAAACAATCTTCCGATTAGTGGGAAACCCGCTCTACCTCCTGAGCCACAGCCACCCATACAGACATAGCACGCTCATGCCTGTAATTATGAAGTAATGAGGCGCAAAACATCTAACAGTAACTCAAGCTTTACCAAAACTTTTTTTTGTATTCACTAACAAATAATCTTTTCACAACATTGGTCAAGTTGGCAAGAGGATAATAAAAAGAAAAGTTTGTTGAAAGCTATCAGACTTTTAATTGTGACATTTTCTCATTTCCCAAAAACAATCTCTACATCCAACAACATACTTAGATGATCAAAACAATGCAACATCTGTGCTACTCATTAAAAAACTTGTCTGAATCCACTGTATAGAGAAAAATTCACACACCACAAAAGATTACTCAGGATGCCATATCTTGCTTTCTCATTACAGTCCACACAAAGACACAACTGAATGTGCCCCTTTGTCTGAAAGCCATTGTGTCACAATCATTCATTTGTTAAAGAAATAGCGGAAATCAAGCCAAGAGCAAAAGTAGGTCAGAAACTTGTCCAGCACTTTGCTGTTAGGTAGCAAGTTTGCAGAGAGAAGGATCTGGGACTCTCCTGGTACTTTCAAATAACCACTGTAAGATATCGCATGTAGGTTCATTTTTATTTTAGTATCATAAATAGCATTTACCTTGGGACTCCCAGGTGAAAGATGCAGATTCATCTTTCTAATTGATACTGCTGGTGGTTACACAACCCCCTGTTTTGTTTCGGTCACGTACATTCAACAACTTTTCATTCCAGAAAAAAAGGCTGCCATGGTCAACATGTAAACTAACACCCTCTAAATTCTCCTTTCAGGCATATCAACAAATGAGGCTGGCTGTACCCCCTACACTACATCCCACGCCATCCTCCCCTCTAATGAGATTCTTCACGGGCAATGGCTCCAGTGAAAGGCCTGAGCAATCTGCCAAAGTTGTAATGACAACAGGACAGGAGGGAGTTTCCCATGAGAAATAATAATAAGCTCTTATATAATAATATATCTTAATAATAATATCCCTCTTAATAAGCTTCTTGTAATGTACTTACCTGTACTGCCTTCTGATCTGGATTCTTGGAGCATTTTTGGGTGTGAAACAAATTCCAAACATTTTACTAAAGACAGAAGATTTAGATACATTCTGATATCTCTGATGGGGACAATTAGGCAAATCACTTTCAGGTTAAACTTTATGCCGAGGTAATGGCTATAACTTAAGTTGTACTGGTGCTATAAGTCATGTGTAGCTACTGGAACTAGAGATCCAACCTCAACCACAGACAGTAGCTTTTACCCTATTGACTACACTTGTGGCTATGGACAGGTATTGCCTGCTGCCAAGGATTACCTTTCAATAGACCTTTTTTCACAGCAGACTTTTTTTCATGTCAAAGCAGGTAAAAGGTGTAAATGATACACCTGAAACAATAAAAATTTACTACATTCCATTAGGTGAGCTAGTTTCAAGGTAGTTGGTAGGCTATTGATCATACTGTCTCACTGGCATGACTTACTTGAAAGAACTGGACCAATTATTTTCACTTGCGCTTTTCCTGCCATAACAGTCAAAATGTCTGCCATGAAAGGCTATTTATTTATTTCATACAGAGTGACTCCAAACTTCATAAACCAATAAGAATAATAAAGGTGTGGGGGCGTCAGTTCGAATCCAACATGCGGCTCATTTGCTGTGTGTCAATTCCCCCTTTCTCTCTCTCTAATGTTTTCTGTCTCTCTTCGGCTGTACTATCAGAAATAGCCCCCCCCCCCAAAAAAAATAAATAAATAAAAAGTAATAAAGGCGTAGCCTCATAAAGTGAATCAGTTCAAATTCATAATTTACAGTCTGTCAGTGCCTTGTGGTCCAGAGGAGCTATCAGTCAACTCCAAAAAAATAAAGCACACTAGCAAGCTGATTAATCATGACACAGAAGCAAAGTATTTTCAGTTCTACACAGTTTGCTGACTACGTTAAAAAGCTCTGCCTAACAACAATAAGACATCTGAGGACTCAACCTGCTTGCTTGCCACCTAAGGGGCAACGGAAGCACCAGAAACGAGTTGAGCAAATTTCAAACTGTACAACCTCTTCTGACTGCCTACTCATGACACATGCACACGTACAGTTATATGACACCACAACAAATTATGTGTTAGTTCGAATTTGTTTGGACTTGACTTTTAAAAAAAGTTACAGCCCTAGCCTCAGTCGGAAATGGTCTTATCAGGCAAGTTAAGTGAAAACACCTGTCTGCTTTAGGCGCTGAAGCAGAGAGTTAGGCATGAGATGTGAAGGGCTAAGGGCCCACAAAATGGTCCTGTAAAAAAGTGGAAATTAGTAAACTTCCAAAGGTAACAGCTTTCTCTACTTGCCTTCTGTCTGAGAAAGTCTAGCCCTGTCTGTCTCATTAGTTGTGGTCTCAGAGATACCAGGATTAATGAGCCAGTCATCTGAGACTCTCAGACAGACCACAACTATCGGTGTGTTCGAACTGCCCTGTGGATTATAAGATACTGAGGACAACAACAGATTAATTGTTTCTGTCCTGTCCAGGCTCAAGACATAAGTAAGCACACATTGCACTACTGCTTGTTGATGTCTATGTGAAAGATGGCTGTTGGTAAGGAGGCAATCTTACTGAAAAAGCTATACTCTGCAGAGACCACAGAGTACAGGTAGGACTTGCTTTGGAGATTTTATAAAAATAATACACACACAGCAGCAAAAGACAACTCTATTTTACATTCAATATATTCTCAACAATGCTCGCTACTGTTTAGGGTAACAACTAGCATTGAATGAAATCTGTTCACTGTGTTCTCTACAAATCCCTATAAGCTGATCCAAAGCCAATAATGTAAATAACGTGATAAGAATAGGTTTGCATCTACTTAAGAGATTCCCCAGAAATGGAATAGCCACAGTTAAAGGGATACTCGAAGAGTTCGTAGAAAACGTGAGTGAAGTGTTTGATGTATGGCCCGTCGGGATTTGTGTGGGTGTCAAATTATTGTGAAATGCAACCTACCCACCATCTGTGGAAGAATCTCCAAGAACAGCTGACAATGTGCCACAGAAAGCAGCAGTGACAAACAACAGCTTATATGCTGTCCAAGATGTTTTCATAAGATCTTCTCTTGAATCTTTCCATGGCATCTCCATTTATGTTACAGATCAGATCATTTTTAATTTGATCATCATTGACTTACATCCTTTGATCACCCCTAAATCTTACCTCCTCCAGCGCCCATAGAGAATCCACTACCGGCTTGATCTTCTTTTGGTCATAGAGACACAAGAGTTTGTCCATCACTGATCTCACAAGACTACATTTCCCATGCTTGAAGAGGAGGTTGAGCAGCGAAAATCCTGCTATAACTTTGTTCTCCTCGTAGAGTTTAATAGGGTTCACCTTCTCCACCTGCCACCACTGGAGAAAAAATATAAAAGAGAGACTCGTTTATCCCAAGTGATTCATTTGTGTGTGTGTGTGTGTGTGTGTGTGTGTGTGTGTGTGTGTGTGTGTGTGTGTGTGTGTGTGTGTGTGTGTGTGTCATCTGCCATGAAATGTTCATTGGATGGTAACAGGTTACTGTTTCCTTCAGATGACAGGCTGGATCTCTGACTCACAGATTTTGCAAAGCTGAAGAAACTCTTTGTTTCCCCAGTTACCATGTTTGACGCGCCTGAAAAAAGAAAAATAAAAGATTGCTGTATGCTGTGCAACAGGCTGGACAGAAGTGATTGGTCAATAACAGGCAGCATGAACCATGAAGCGTGAAGGGTGAGGTGGGGGAGGAACAGTTGGCACCTTAAGACCCTTAGATCTGTGCAAGCATGCCTTCGCACATATTCAATATAACTAAAACTAATTAATTGATCTCCCTCTAATGCTATTAATGGATTCATGAGGCTTGACAGGAACTAAAGTAATTGACAGAGATCAGACAAGAATGGTAGCTGTGAAGGACAGTACATTTCATTTGCAGGATAAGGAGTATGTTTTATTCAAGTGAGCCTCACTATTTCACTCCAGCTCCCAATAAATGAATGCAAGACTCAGGATAGTTGTGACAATTATCCGAAATACGTTCATTCCTTTTCTTGACAGTTAGATTTGAAGATCGATACTACTCTTGTGTCTCTCTCTTAAAAATGAAGCTACAGCCAGGAAATTGTTAGCATAGCTTGGCATTAAGACAGCAAACAAGGGGAAACAGCTAGACTAGCTCTGCCCAAGGGTACCTTACAAATTACCAAGACCATTTTACAAAAGATTAATACTAAAACTGTTTCTTGGCAGGGAGCAGTGACTTGCTGAAATCTTGTTGTCACCAGGCCAGCTGTTTCCCCCTGTTTCCAGTCTTTATGCTAAGCTGTCTCTTGGCCCAATCTTTATATTAAATGGACAGATATGAGTGGTATCGATCTTCCCTCAGCAGGAAAACATACATGCTTATTTACAAAAATGTCAAACTATTCCTTTAATTGTTAATATAACCAAAGTTGAAGCAAATCAACAAATTGAGTAATACACTGCATATTTAGTTATTTCCACTTTGAAAGTACTAAATGGAAAGGCGCTGGTTACATTAACACACATCATTGTTCCCACCATAGAGGATGTAAGTTCCCAAAGGCTTCAGCAGAGTCAGGCCTTTCCCTGTGTTTTCCCCACACAGGCAGTCCAACACGATGTCTACTCCCTCTGGAGAAATCCTAAAACACCAAGCACAGAGGTGAAGTCCACTGAAAAAAGGATTCAACTATACATGCAAGAGTATCCTCTGAACATCAGAGATGCAACTAATGATTATTCACTGATTATCAAAATAGTTTTCAGCTGAAACAATTAGTCTATTAAATAGTTTGAGTCATTTTTTAAGCTAAAAAAAACAACATTCCCTAGTTCCTGATTCACAAATGTGAGAATTTGCAGCTTTTGCTTTTATAACAACAAGCTGAATATGTTTGGGCTGTGCACTGTTGGTTGGACAAAACAAGCAATTTGATTAAATTTCCTTGGGCTTTAGGAAATTGTGATTGGTATATTTCACTATTTTCTGACATTTTGTGACAATAATACAGCAGATTAATTAAAAATAAAAATGAGTTGCAGGCCTAAAATAATTGCAGATTAGTTTTCTGTCTATCCACTAATCCCTGAATCGACTGACAGTGTCAGCTCCACGGATGAACATGTGACAACATTTTTTAAACAGTTGAGACAAAGCAGAATCAGAGGCAAACTTTACACATTTACAGTGATATGTCTGTATTACCTTGTTTATGACTGTGAGCACTAAAAAGTGCTAAACATACTGTATATACACATAGATGAGTCCATATAGTCAGCCTGTGATTCATACTCTGGAGCAGCTTCAGGTTTTGTCTAATCATGGATTCATAAGATATGAGCATTGGTTCTCTGGAGTATTACTGAGAGAGAAAAAGTTGCAGTATACAGCCCACATGTTTTCTTTTGACTCAGCCTACAGTTTTCTTATAAAGCAATGCATTGATGTTTTGCAATGCCCACACTACTCCTCATCATTAACATCATTTATATCAGGTTAGAAGAAGGTTTGATATTCTTACCACACAGAATCAATCGGACAAAAACGGTTTGCCATAATGAGACTCATTAAAGGCACGGAGATGAAAGAATGACAAGCATGTTATTTTCAAGGCGACCATAATTCCTCACTTTCTGCCTTGTGGCCCTGGACACCTGCTTGGCTAAACTGCTTGGTGGTCATGTGATTCCCATGGTTTTTGCCTTTTGTAAAAAGACTAATTTAATTGTACTTTGCTCTTGATCCTGAGAAGAATGTGTGGGCCAGGGAGATGAAAGGCATATTAATCCACAACCACTGTTGATTTGTAGGCAGAAAGAACGAAACTATCAGCGCTCATGATAAAAAAATCCCTAGGTTTTATAAGCAGAAAAGTCATACAGCATGTTTCATACATGTATGCTGGTTACATATCTCAAGAGTTTAGCCACACATGAAAGCAAATTACTGCAAAAGCTCTCTGAAGCAGAGAGCAAGTTGAGTTCTCTAAGTGATCACAAAGCTTCACAACCAACCTGTATCAAATCTCAGGCAGTGTTTACTACAAGGTGTTTTCTTTGTAGTGCAAACTGGCTAACAGTGTGCTGCGTTGTGAATGGAATGTGTAGGGTTTCAACACTCAGCCCTAATTGGCTCGATTGTTCCACACTGCCGGTGCAGACCTCCACCCCGCACAATGCCGCTGCTCTCTTAGATGAGCTGTGTGTTGCCATGTGAACCATGGCCACACAAGACCAAATAAGGCAACAGGTATCATCTGCATCCTCGCACAGCCCTCAAAGCACGGCAAGGGCCACGTTATCGTATTAGTTTACATGTATAGCGTGCTACAGCGAAACTGCCCGATGACGCCGTGAAATTCAATGTAATTTATAACATTAACAAATGAATCAACAATAATACAGACACACTTTCTATGCTTACTTTTTGACTTCTTGCATATAATCAGTGTTTCTGTCGAAGAGGTGAGTCACTGACTCTCTGATGGCTGCGTGTTTGAAACATGATGCGGTCCCAAACACAGTGACATTAGGTACAGTGGAACACAACTGAGCCACAGCTTGACCCTGAAAATAACAAACAGTTGAAACAATTTATCAGCGCCTGAGAACACTGGGGTTAAGTTGAAATTTACCAAGGCACAAAAAAAAAGCAACCGTATATACCATGACTCAATACAGAAATTCATAGTCATAGAAAATGAGAAATAGTGGTGTAGAATATATAGAAGTCCTATTTGTATATTGCTTTTGTTTAAGTGGTTCACTTCAGTTGTAACAGCAATGTTAACTGTTTTTTAAATAATTATTCTTTCAGTCATTCCAAAACTTAAATTCCTCAAAAGGATGTTTAAGAAGTATTAGTAAGACATCATGTAAGGTCTAGTACATATTTTCATTTTGCACAGTGACATAAACAATAACAGGGAACAAACAACCTTTGTGAGTATGAAGCTGTCAGTTATAATGAGAGTTGGATGAAATGGCAGTGCAATTGTCATATTAGAAATGGACTTACTACACCACCTCCTGCTGAGTGAACCAACACTGACATCCCCTCTCGCAGATTGGCAACCTCAAAGAGCATCATATAGGCGGCCACAAAATTCAGGGAGAATGCAGCAGCCTCTGCATAAGTCATTTCATCTGGCATCTTGTAGACAAAATCCACTGGTGTGCAAACAACTTCTGCCCAGGCATTGTAATTTACAAAAGCCATAACTCGGTCGCCTATCTGAAAGAAACACGTTAGAGTATCAGGATAAGCACGCGCATCATGTGAAAGAAAGCATGTTGCACTAAGGAGTATTAGTAGAATATTGATTCACTTAAATGGATAGCTCATTATTAGGCTTATAGCACATGTCTCCTGTTTTGTTGATGCAGATTTGGTTGCTTAGAAATGGACAACATTCATTCATACATCACAACAGTACAGAGTTACAATCCTTAATTTCACTAACCTCAAATCCTGTTGTGTTTTCACTCACTGACTCTACTATTCCACAGCATTCAAACCCAGGGACAACAGGAGGTTTGGGAGGATTATCAATTGTCCCCTGACGTACCATCAGATCCAGAAAATTCAAGCCACTGCAACAAACAATAAATCGGTCCTTAATGTCTCTTGACATTAAATCCCCCTGATTCAATCTATGAAATCATGCATCTGAACTGTCACAGCAATGAAAGCTATTAAATTAATGATACAAATATTTACTATGAGCTGTTGAGCGATTTAGGGATCCCCCAGTCCTATTTATTTGATTATTATTAGCAATGAGTCACTGGCTGTATCCCCTGTGAATACAAGGCCAGATTAATCAGGCATTTTCTATTAAACAATATTTTCCTAACTCTGACTTTGCCAACACTTGGCTTTGGTTCAGCTCGAAATAATTTGCAAGGTAAGCAATACCTTGTTCGTACAGTTATCTAGTAGAAAATGTGATTGAAAATGACAGAGAAAAAAAACGCTGGCTTGTCTGACAACAGTTCGCTCTTCATTTTGCTTGCTCTGGATGGGCTCCAGCCAGCCAGCCAACCAACCTGCACTAGAAAAGACCTGTGGCTTCAATGCTACGAATTTTCTGTGTTGTCCAGCGTTCATAGTCGTCAGAAATTGTGTGGCGTGGGCATGCAACGTGAGAGCACATGACAATTCACAAGTTACGTATAAATGTATGTTTTTTTCGTATTTACCAAGCTTTCACACGGATCTTCACTTCACCATCCTGAAGCTCGGGCATTGTCTTCTTGGTTACCCTGAGTTTGTTGAGACCTCCAAAACCTGCCAGGATCACCGCACGCATTTCTTTGGCGTCGCCGGACGATTCCACCTTTTCTGCTTCTTTCCCCACATTTTTGTCTATCATGTACTCGGTTTCCTCTGTCATATCTGCTCCTTCTGTAGCCATGTCGGAGACCTGCTGCTCTGCGCTCCTCTTCGGGGTTCAGAGTGATGTGATGTGCAGCCTGTGCACAGACCGGCGCTGCGTGGATGGTTTTACACAGTGGAGCCTGATATCCCACCGGATAACGTTACAGTTTTATTCATTCGTGCGGAATTAACGTCCTCATAATCAATGTTCCCCCATTCAAGTCACAGATGCTGATTAATTCAAGTAAAGTTTGCCATTTCAAGGATCTAGAATATAATGAACCCCTGTCTTTCTTTGCCTTTACTTGCAGCGGGCTAAAGCAAGAAGCGCACCATCTGCTGGTGAAGCGTGTGCAGAACTTTATTTAGGCTATATATAAAGTCTGGTAACGCAACTCATCCACGATGCAACTTAAGTCCATCAATAAAGTGTGGTATCTTCAGAGGCGCTTGGAAATAATGTCTTGTCAAAGTTGCTTTGCAGACAGCGGTGGCTGTTAGCTTAGTTATTGATGCTTTGATGAATTGGAGGAAAACCAGATGGATGAATTGTTTAACAAAGGCACATTACAGAAGCCGGGGAGCCAGACCATACTAGGCATTAAAACATTTTAGCTAAAACTTTTAAGTTTTTCCACCACTTGTCAAAATTCCAAAAACACATTACGACGCCATTGTTTATATTTTTAACTTACCACTAACGTTAGTAGGAGGAAGACATCAAGCTAACAGACGAATAACGTTAGCCCGGACATAACGTTATGATTTTTTTAAATTGTTGTGGCTTATATGGTAACAACAGTTGCCTACTTGCACACCCAGCTGAAGGAGAGTAACATTATCATCCCATGAAGTTCCTACACCTTGAACGTAAGTCCAGTAACCGTTACTCACTTGACTTTTAGCCGTTAGCTATATTTGCGACTCATGATTTCAACATCCAGAGTCGCACCAACTCCTGAGAAAAAAATTACTGCTAACATTATTAGCTCTGTCAACAAATGTTTAACATAGCTGTTTTCAGAAAAAAAGCAAAGTACCTGCTGCTGCTGTAGGAAAGCCAAAATGTAACATTTAATAACATTCAGTAAATCTGCCCCAGAAATTTGCTAGTGAGAAGACATAAAATCAAAACAAGGACCTAAAAGAGGCTAAAAAAAAGATCTGTAGAAGTGCAAATATGGCTGTTAACTAGTGGCTTCGTGGGTTCATCTCTGCCAGCAATTTGATTTGTTAATGCAAAATTTTGACTAGTGAGTGTGTCACACTGGAGGCTTCAAAAGTCTCATCACATAATGACCAATACTTGATTTTTAAAATACTGATATCTACACATTTTATATATATAAAATCCTTGTTTGAATTTAGTTAGTCAGGAATGTGAACATTATACTGAGCAGTTGAAAAGGTCATTCAGTGTCTCTTGTTGGACAAAATAGCATGAAAATATACTGCAGTTTCTTGTTATTTATCAGCCAACATATGTGCAGATACTGATATAGGGGAGACCGGGTATGGTTGTAACACTTTTTGGTTCAGCAATTATAACTCGCTGAATGTTTTAGATAGAGTATCCACATTTGTTCACTACAAATGGCACCAATTCAATCCTCTACAAGAATATCAGAGACCTTGTGAGTTGATGTCAAATGCATTGTGTTCCCTTGTTAGAACCTGTCCCACTACCAGGGTCAGTTGTAACAATATGACAAAATAAGAAAGTGGAGTGCAGGCT